TGAAATCAAATGTCATTAGTTGATTGATGTTTGAGTTCACCATTGACTTGATTTTGATCTCGCACTAGCAGCACCAGGAAAATTAGAAATCAGGACGAACCACTGTAACGTTATACTGCGCACAATTAATGACGAATAGATGATTTTCATATTATTACTGCAGTTTAACATATTAAAAAAGATTTGCGCACTTATGTATTCAGGCTATAAGAATTACAAGCAAAAAAGATTAGACTTATAATGTTCTCACTAAAGTGATTGGGCCGAGTCACTGTCTAGTGTAGGGTTGGTAACTGTATGCTCTTGATCCCCGGTCTCGGCATCGGTCCGGGGACACACAGAACAGCTGAGTATGCTGAGGCCACGCAGGAGCCAATCAAGAATCAGCATCAACCGCATCGAATCCAGCTGCAAAGTGAGTTGGGTGAATTGTCCGGCAGTGTGGCTTACGATAGCAATTTGTTCTTTGGCTTCACTAGATTGCTCAGAACAAACTGGTATTTCTGGCATTTTTTGATGCAACTCGTGATCTTGATGTTGTGATTTGTGTCGGCGAAGTCGATGTTGGCTAGAGTTGTGAATGCTGACTTGTTCGTTGGGTTTACTCACACTCGGCGAAGTCTGCTGCAGATTCCCATGCATTTTTGGCTGCTTCTTCCGTTTACTTTGGTAGTGATCCTTGCCATGCTGACCATCTGTGACTAATGCTATACGTTTTAAAGGGGAAGTTGATTGTTCCCCTGAACTTGCAGTATGAGTAGCGGAATCAGGCAACACAGAGCTCTGTTCAAAAGAACAAGTGAAATAGGGCGAAAAAGGACCCGTGGATTGCGTGAGTCGGAGTTGAGGTTGAGAAGCTGATTGTAAACGATCGGAGTGGCAATCTTGGCGGGCTTCGGGTCCCGAAGGTTCTGGGAGGCGACTTTGTAAAGTGGGTTGTAGGATCATAGTGAAGACGTTGGGACGGAGATGTTGAGGCCTATCTATAAAAAACAAGGATGGAAATGATGGGAAAGAAGGCAGATAAGTAACGTCGTAGATTGATATGGAAAAAATGGTTGCTTAATCGACAATTCCACTATAGAAGTGATTTGTATAGGGCTTGATTAGCCTCGAAAATGTCATTCACATTGTTATCTTATGATATAATGGGTTGTGGTAGAATGATAACGTCGCCACGACACTCACAACTCGGTATCGAATCCTGTTGGGGGTGTTGATAAGACCTGTATGAGGTCTAAACTGGAATCCAACTTACTGAGAGTCTTTTGGAAAGCAAAGCATCGTAAGAATCACTCCTCTCGTATGGGAAAATCCGATTATCAATATTTAAATCATCTTAACGACATAGAGTTAGCAAGTTATTATTCAAGAATTAATGATAGCCTCAAAAACTACTTATACCGCTTTTTAGACTTACGTATGATTCATAAATTAATGCATCCTGAGATTTTACATAGTTATATATGGGATGTCCATATACCCATTAGATAAAACCTATAAAAGTTGAAT